TACTGGCTGCAACAACCTGATACCACTTTTTCGTACAAGAAAACATTCACCCACATTACATAATCAGTCACAAGAAACTGCTGCCCAAGACACTGACAATAAAATTAATGCAATGGTGCAACATCTCCAAGAAGGCAACAGCGAATTTATTTCGAACGTTATATTTTATATTGCAGGATACATAGTTTCGAAGTTAGTCAACAATTTATCTTGCCCAGAATGCAAACGATGCCTTTGTCCTTTACCAAAATCGTTATCCGTAGATGACCATGATTATACTGCCACAAAATATCATGAAGCTGGAAAAGCGTCAGCTTTCGTCAACTTCGTGAACAACGGTGGTTTACAGATTCCATCCACAGCGGTGTATCGTTGTATAGAGTTCTGCGAACACGTTTTCAAAGCAACGGTGACAGGCAACGACAATCAGCATATTAGTAACAGGGCAAAGTTGAAGAACAGTATGATTATTGCAGTTTGCCAACATTTTAATCTGGAATCGACCTTTCCTCTATTCAGAGATCACGAAGATGGTGTTAACGAGGCTGTTATCGAAGACGATCACAGCACTCAACTGACAAAGCATATCGCAGACAAATATTTCACACTGCGTCTTTTCAACTACGGTAAAAAAATATACGAGGGAGATCGTAAATAAAGGCAAAACAAGCGACAGGCACCGACTCAATAAGCTAATCTTGTTTAACAATGAATAAATTTAATGTGTAAACACTTTATGAATACAATGAATAAACACTTACCCATTGGGATTTTTACATTTGAAAGTTTTCGCCAATATCCGAGCACAATCCTTTGCCATCGGTAAGCCTTCTGGGTAAAAAAATTATTTGGTCGGCAAGAAACTTAAATTTCCTGTATTAATATCAAAAGAAAACGCAGCAAAACTAAATAAATTCAGTAATTTTCCTTTCTAAAGCTTGGCCAAAACATGTAGTTTATTCGTTCAGACTCTTTACTCACTCCTTCCAATCACGCATCGCGAGGCCGAACTCGCGTGATTTGACTACCAGAAACGCGTGTCTGGAGGTCAGATCACGCAAAATTTTGGCTTCATTTCGTGTGTTACCGATATATCAGAAGGTAGCCTTCCAGTTATATTTAGTTCAATGGGTTGTCAAAACTTCCACTTTGAGAAAAATTTTTAACATTCGCTCCCTCCTGAATCCGGATCTTTATTCCTGCTCATATTAATGACAACCAGCGAAAACAACCACGATACCGTAAGCATAAAATATTGAAAATGCTTCAGGTTTTTGTGAAATAGACACACACATTTAAATGAGGTAAATCTACTGTAAAATAACGTATATTTTGCCAAGTAATGCTTTAGCTATATTAGAAATAAATATCAAACGGCATTCTTTACACTGTCAATGTGTTGTTAAGCTTAATGCATAATCCCATGCGCATTGCTTGTGTTTTTGACTGTTTGTTAACAGCTTGGTGCAACTGTCTTTCTTGAATAGATGGGTAAATCTTAGTTAAAACGTCCAAAAAGGAGTTAGAAAAAGTTAGCTTACCCCTACGACTTAAGTCCACTGGAAATATATTATAAGTAGGTATGTAACTTGTTTGAGTTTTTTTTGGCAGGATTGATTCTGGGTGTCTTATAAGGTATTATGATATTCTGATAAATCTACTGAGACCTTATGAAGAAAATATCTTGAACTAGAAGAGCAAAAGAACGAAATTCAGAAATTCTATAATCATGTTGCTGGTTCTGTTTTAAGCCAAGATATTAGAAACTGGATTGTCATTGACAACCATGGATCTATTACTGAACAGAACTACATTAATTTCCCATTGAAAATACGATTTCTTAAATTAAAGTGCATTGGTTTCTCTGACATAACACTTTTCTTATTGCTGCATGAAGGCAAACTTGTTTAAATAATTATAATGTAGGTGAAGATATTTAGCATGTTGTATAATTGTTATTGTACAGTAATTATTTATAATATTATGGCCCTTGTGTAATGTATGTCAAGAAGAACATTAATTCTCAAAAATGCTAACCTTTTTGCACTACTTTTCTCTTGTGTCCTTACAAATTACTAGTACCTATACTTATTTTTTCTAGGTTCAAACAACTTGATAAACTTTTGAATTTTACATTATGCCTTTGAATTTTTCTTTTTGTCTTTTGGTAAAAATATCAGTGAATGACTAAAAAATCAAGTTTTCTAAAATGGTATTTCGTACAAAGAAACTATACATAATTGGAAAAGTCTCATGTTGAAGACAGATGTGGCTTCTTTTACTGGATTGCTATTCTTATTCTTTTAAATAATATCGTAATTCTTCATAAGACATAAAAAGTTCTTTGCCATCAATTTTTGCTTCTTCCTCATTCAACTTCATTGCAACCAACACATTTTATGTGAATTTTTAATCACCTGGAATTGAAAAACGTATGGATTTTGTCAGATGATGCAATACTATATTTAATGTTTCACGCATGTCATTATAAGCTTTTCTTGAGCAAAAATTTCAAGGTAGGAGCAAAATTTGGCCCATTATTGAACAAAGTAGTTTTTATCTTGATTTTGATGTACTAACCAGTTTACTACACTGTATAACAAGCAATTCATTTACAGAAACACCAGATGGCATTTAAAACTGTTAGCATAAAGCAAACTTTTACACACCATCATCATGATTGTCCATAATCTGTCAAATTGTTCAGGCTAGCTGTTTAAGACAGGTATTTTTTATTGTACGACATGTACCAAAGAGTTAATTAATTAATCCTGCACTGCATTTGATTTCAATACAGCTCTGTTCTTAATATTTGCTTCATATTTTCAGAAAAATATCATGAAAAAATCCTCCATTTCTAGGAGGTAAACTCAGTTGAAACAAGGCGTTTTAAGATACGAATATCTCGATAAGAATTGGTTGCTTTGCCTCGTCTAGCAAGCGATTAAGTAAAGAACAAATAAGACTGAATAAACATAACTTAAATTATAACTTAGGAGTAAAAACATTTACAAAATATATACCATCACACTTCAAGTATTGACTTAAAACATAACACTGAACACTTTAAATAGTAAACAATCTTACGTTGCTTACCGGTGTCATGAATTGTTTCCTTTTCTGACATTACTTCAGCATCCGTATACCAAACAAGTTTGCAGCATGTTTTAAAGATAAAATTTCTAAAGTTTTTGTGCTTGGCATTGATATTTTATATAATCGCAATTGTGGTTGTCAAATCCGGGTGGGCGAAAAAAATTTCATTTTATGAGCCCACGTCTTTCCGCTGACTTTGACAACCAAAATCCGCCATGTTTTTGACCACGCGGCCGCGCGCTGATAATTTATAGTAATTTGGTTGACGTTTCCCCTCCAGTTATTATAGAACTCAATGGTTATGTGATTATGTGATTTACAAAATGTTTTTGATTAAGAATCACGTAGCCTTAAACCTTAAAATAGTTGTAGTTTGTATTGCAAATTACAGCAGTTTTTAAACAGTGATATAATTTTACGAAGAGGTAATTGAATTTTTATTCATAACAATGCATGGTTGCTTTATAATACTAGTAAGTATCGTTTGTCCAATTATTGCATTCAAGACAATATGTAGTTTACAACCCACTTTTTTATCTCTTAGATTGGTTTATTAACTTCGCCTATTTCTTTAGTAAGCTTGCAATGTCAGTTAAATCATTTTTATTTAGTTGCTTAGAACATTTTCCATTTGCTGTTGTTAGCAAGTAAACTATAATGTTATACTTAAAATTTTAGGGTTATGTATAAGTTAGGTATGATACATGCATGTAAAGAAGAGAATAAGTTACAAATGGTTGAGGAGACATATAAATTACCATAACTTGTGAATGAGAATTATCATTTTTTTATTAAAACATTTTGCTAAATGTTGTGATCACCAGCACTTAGGGGGAATGGGTTGTAACATTAGGATATGTTTAAATCAATCAAAAATAAATAGAGTGACAGTTATATTTTATTATTTACTTTAGTTCATCTCATAATAAAACGTGACCAGGTGCAATACAAAAAATACTGGATTGCTGCTAATAGAGCTTTAAGATGCATTAGAACATTAATCATCTTAAAATCTCTTTAAATGTTGATGGGCTTCTTTTGTTTAAAAGTTCTGCAAAAATGTATGGCCAGTGTTGTGTGCCGTTTTGAATATCAAACCTGTTTTAGTGTTTCCTATTGTCCTAACATGTGGTGACTCCAAGCCAAAAGACTTGGAGTTTTAGGATGAGTTTATAGAAGATTTGAAGGGTGTTCTAGAGAGGGGAGTCCAAGATGGGGAGAAGGTTCTGACTGTTACAGTAAGGGGCATTTTTTGTGATGAGCTCCTGCAAGAGCACTTGTTAAAGGTACAAAACTTTGTACTGGTTATTTTGGTTGTGACAAGTGTACACAAAAAGGTATCTGACTTGGTCGAGTGACTTACTCTCAAAATAATAATATAGAATTGCACACTAATATTTCCTTTAGAAAGCAGGTACAAAAAGAACATCATCGCTTTGTTAGCCCTTTCTGTCACTTGCCTGTTGATATGGTAAAACAATTTCCAATTGACTGCATGTATCAACTGTGTCTGGGTGTTATGCGTAAATTGATAATGGTTTGGATGAAGGGAAATCGCGCTGCTAAAATGTCTCTTGCCCATATAGAGGCTGTTTTTAAAAATTTGGTGAAACTTAAACCATTTATCCCCTCTACATTTGTGCGAAAACCTAGGAGTTTAATGGAGGTTGACAGATGGAAAGCTACAGAATTCATACAATTTCTTTTGTTTACAGGCAAAATTTCTTTCAGCCGTCAATGAAATCTTATCAACAAACTCTAGAAGTAAGTACTGTAGTTGCAATGCAACAGGCCATTATTTTATTCAAAGGAGTGCCGTTTTTCACACATTGCTACGTTGCATTTAAATCTAATGAGTGATTTTGCTTTTTAGATTTGCCGGTGTACACTGAGGTGATCTCCCTTGCAGGAAAAGGTATAAGCGCAATTATATTCCTTGTACAAGAGGACAATTTTTTACAGAAACATGCATGTATAAAATTTCTCTTTTCATACTAATATAACGTTGATCTAGATTTATATGACGGTGAACTAGCACCAGAAATCCTAAACACAAAGGATCATGCAATAACTTCCCCATCTACTAGTAGGACACCATCTCAGCGTAGTGGTAAGTTTTCTGTCATCAGAACTGACTAATCAGCAACTTTCATATAATATGTCGACTAAAATGTTGAAATAATTTTGATTGATTCTTTTTAAATAACTTTAACATTCGTATTGTACATTTACTGTTTTTCTACGTCCATCGTTGCATTATAGGGCCTATGTATGTTCTACAGGTGCTGTAGGTGTTGGTCCTTTAAAATGTTGTAATTAGTTGAAAAAATGTTAGTTATAGTTAAAATTGCAGTTGTATTCACCATGATTTAATCAAAATACATTCGTTCAAATCTAATTCCAAGTTTTTGCGATCAAACTACTAATTGAAACTTTCTCGAGGTTTTTATTTTAGTCACCTTTCTGTTTTTGACTTTTGAAACTTGTAGTGCCTTAATTTAAATGACGCTCGTGCGTGCAATAAAGATATATGTTAAACCCAGTACGCGTCTTCTCTGTAGATACAAGCAACGTCTCTTCACAAGGAATTCTTACAACTGGCACAACAAGAGAAAGACATTCTCAACAAAACAGTGGTGTCTTAGGCAAGCTTTTCTTACAATTCATTATTGTATGTCTTGTTGTTACGTTTTCATTTACGTTCATTTCGTGTCGTTTGAAATGTTTTTTTTCTTCACAACTAACTGCAACACGTGATTGCTTTGCAGATGCGTAATTTTATGCGAGTTTTATTTGAATTTTCTTGTTAGCATGTTGTAAGGTTTTATATTTTTAAGATATTACGTAGATTATACATAAGTTATTCTCTTATTTTCTTATCTATCTTGTATGCTTCCAAAGATCAGTTCTCACTAAACTGGAAATATTAATTGATAAGCAAGAAGAAACGTTGTCAATATTGCGTGCTCTGTTAAGCGTTACGAAAGGTGTAGAGAAGAACGAATTTTTGGAAGATGTTGTACCTAATCCCTTAGATTCGGTTGAAGAACTTGAGAGCCTATCCTCTAGTCTTGATGAAGAAAAGTCCAGAAGAAAGTTGGTAAGTTTTGGAAAGTTAACCACCCATACGTAGTCAGTAATATTTATTGGCACTGCCTATTTTTTATGCGTAACTTTTTCAAGTGTTAAGTAAAAAAATGTGACAAAGGAAGGCATAGCCCTTCACTTCCCCTTTATCGGTTTGGAAACGTGAAAACGATAGTTTCATTTGCAATTACGTAACATAATATTGACTTTTTTTCTACCATTTGTGTTTGAAGCTTGAAAAAATGCACGTTTGTCAAAATCTAAAACGTAATTTTAGTGACGATTTTCGTGACGTTAGGGGGTCAGATTATCTGATTAAAATATATGAATGTAGCATCGTGTTTTTCGTGAGAGCATTGTCGTGTTCTGATTGATTTAAATACGTTACGTTACTTCAAACGGCTCTTAGGAGTGTGTCGTTTTATTTGTGCTGAAAAATTTTAACGAAGAAACTGGTCTTTCTAAAAGCTCTCACCATTCACTTGGGATGGTTTTGTTTTGCATTTCGAGATCAAAATGGTTATATATATTTGTCTAAATTGAACTTTTCCATATACTTTATCTTTTACTCTCTTTACTAGTTGCAGTTTTTGATAGCATTGTGCGCAAACAACTGTGCAAACAGTGTTAGAAGAATTATGACAAAGCTGGGAATAAATAATCTATGGTTCCAATATAGTTTAAAAGGCAGAAAGTTAAAGCGACCATTTCAGCACTTTGCCCTCTGCAAAGTTATAACAAGTAAGCAAAATTAGACGATAATGTTTGCTGCAGCAGTACCATGTTTTGTCTCCTTTTTCTCGTTCATGAATTGGAAAAACAGCCATTTATGTTGCTCCTTGTCATAAGGAATATTGTTGCAAGTTTTAAAAGCTAATACATTAAACTGTTTTGCATACGTCATTTGTTTCATTTTCTCAACTTAGACATGGAGAACTCAACTAATTTTACTCCGTAATCTCATAGTTAACATATTTGTATTTTCTTGTCTGTTTAAGTTGAGAAAAATACACAATAACATTCTTGGCATGTGCACCTAAAGAAAGTGAGCATGTGTCTTTCATTGTCCTTCAATTATAAGTAAAGCAAAATGGAATGTACACATATACATAATGCGTACATTTAAAAACGTTCATTTTAGTGCAGGTATTAGATTTGTGCAAGTTTTAAATTTTCTTAACTCAAACTGCATGATTATATTTATTATATACAATTTGCTTAGCGTGATATTAAACAATTATTGAATGAAATAGAATATGAATTAAGACTTATGAAGGCCAAGGTTTGTTCAATCTACCAACGCTGAGGCAGATAGAGCACATTGATGCCTTGATAATTCTTTATATTACGTGAAAACCCAATTCAATAATTGTTTTATTATTCATATAAAAAAGACAGAGTTGATTAAATGTGAAAAAGGTGCCGTAACGATTAAAGTTCTGTTCACTTTGCGTATGAGATGACGTTGTAGCGCGAGATAATTTCTTATATCCGACGTACGTACGTAGTGGCATTCATATAAGTGGATTTATTCGACTGCTTTTAAGTGAATAAAACTAAAAAATACTTGATTCATTTGTTTGTATAAATTCAATTAAGAAGATATACATACAGCAGGCGATTCAGTTTTCCATTTAAATGGCATCTTTTACAGACAAATATGTCAATGTTGTTGTAGGTGGTAAGACATATAAAAATGGTATATAGACTCCCATTTTTTAATAATCATATATGTTACTTTCTTGCAGATCCGAAAAGGCAACTTATTGGAATCGGCTTAGTTAGCATTTTTGTAAATATTTATATTAAAACACGCACAGATGTTTTAAAAGTTGATTATATGGAAATTAAACTTTAGTTCGTATCATTGGAAAGGCTGTTTTATGATTTCACAAATAATGCTTCATTAATTGTATGTTAAATGAACGTCGGATAAACGTCAGGTAAATGTTGTATGAAATTCTGATATATGTTGTATGAACGTCAGATAAACGTCTTATGAACGTCGGATGAACGTTGGGTTTAGTTTGAAGATACTTTATATCCCAACGTTCATCCTAACGTCGCCACCACGTTCTCACAAGTTCACAAAAAAAGTTCACTCAACGTTGGTCTCCGGTTGAGTGAACGTTCGTTGGTACAACGTTGAGACAACGTGATTTTGCCAGCTGGGAAGTCCTCCGAACAATCATCAAGGATGAAACAGTATATACTTTAATGATGTTAGAAAACACAAGACTTCTTTTGTCCATCAGTCCGTCTACATACGTATACTACAAACGCAAATAGAACATGTTGCTTTCAAGCAATGCTTCCATCAGCTAAACTTTTATGTCCATAAAAAAGTCCCTGTTTTATTGAAATATGACCGAGGTTATTGGACTATTGGACTATGGCAGTTCAAAACGTTACTATCCTGGGTATTATATATAACTAAGATACGATTCTCACTGGTTAATCCGCCAATCCTAAAGACATGCGAACTATATACGACAATATATCTATAATATCATGGTAAGAATAATATTCTTATTACACTATTCACAAGAGCAAAAAATTCCACAAATCCTTAAAGCCATAATCAATTATTTAAGTAAACTGAATGAGTAATTTAACATAGTTTTTCTTTTGCAGATGAATAAAACCACGCCACCATTGAGCAGCCCAATTTCGACATTAATTGATTAAAAAATTTTCCTAATAAAAACATGGAATTTTTTCAGCATGCAAAACAAAAGTAAAAATACTAGTTTTCTGACTATCTGTAAATGTTTCCGTTTTCATGCCGTAGACGACATACACAGTTGCAAGAAATGGCCAATCTTGCTTCTGTGCTTGCCGTCGTCGACACGAAACGGAGGACGTTTGTCAGGTAACCGGAAAATTGGATTCATCGTTTTTTCCTTAAACTTGGCAACGGATTTCTCGAAAACCGTGAGTTTACATTATGCTTTGTACGTAGTTTAGCCTGCTAACAGGCCATGCCTTTTTACAGAAAGGGCAAAAGCCACAACAAATCCCAGTGCGCAGTATATTTCACTAAGGGCTATTTTTTTCAATGCAGGTATAAAATTAATTACACATTTTCATAGTAGTTTCCTCCTGCATTTCAAAAATAGTCTTCATTAAGAGGTTTTAAAAGTTTTTTCAGTTTCACTCCAAAAATTATTTGTGTTCTGGAGCTCATTATTAAAATTTGTGTATGAATTAGTAAACATTAAGTTGTATCAGCGGTTGTTAGCCTGTGATTGACATGCATTTGTGTCGCTTTACTCGATTTATCTTCGGAAACCTCTTTGTGAATATACTGCTTTAAGAAGCTACGTATGCTTGCCTCGGGCGTTGCCTCGCAGAAGGATAGATAGGATCACATGTAGCTTAGATCGGAAATGCAAGTGAAGTTTGGCCAAAGGAAGGCAACTTCTACTTGGGGTTAGTAGGTACAAATGGTACCTTAGCGTAGAGGATGAAAATTGCATCTGTAAGACCCGAGAAGACTGGATCTAGCGAGCAAGACCTATTGAAGACAAAGGAAAGATGGTGATTTTGCTGGAAAGAAAAAATGTCTTTCCCTTAGTACGGTAAAAGCATGCAGTCCTGGTTGTTGGCCAATTTCATGAACGGCTTTCTACATTGACTATTAAGGCACTCTTGGATCCCCTATAATGCATGAGTAGTTCAACCCACCCCGGTTGGAGGTCACCCGTAGGTGCTACATGCACTAGGTTAAGTTACGTTAAGGGCATGGTGAGTTACCTCCTTCAAGAGGCACTTCTTTTCAGGGCGGAATTCCGGTGTCATGCGCACGTAGAAAGTTTGGATAGCTCAGGCATGCGCTGTAGTTGCCGCGACTAGTTGCTACGTTCAGATAACCAAAGTGTAGTTAGTACCTTTAGTAATTTAAAGGACAAACCCCACTATAGAGAGAAATGACTAAATAAAACTTTTTGGAAGAAACTTCCGATTTTTCTGTCGGTCATTTTCACTTCGACAAATTGAAACTTATAAAGTATTCTGATTGTTAAGACATTTACAGTTTAGGGGCGGCGTGGCAATAATTGCTGTAAATGTTTATAAGTGGTATGTTGTCTACTCTTAAAGAAGATTTCATTCCTGGGAATTTCAATACTTTTTGCCACAGTGCAAGCGAGCATAAAATAAACGATTAGTACACCAGGTAAAGGTGTGTGGAATGTCTTCATAAAAACCTAAAGAGAAACATACTTTTAATAAAAGTGCTTTGTTCGTTTTCTTTAATGGTAGTATGAAGACAGGTCGCAGACGTTGTTACATATTTTGCTTAATAGTAACTAAGGTTTACATGTTCACCAATCCAGTTGCTATCAAAGTCAAGTATGTGATAAACGTCAAAATAAAGCATAACGTAAATCAAGCGCCAGCGGTTGTTTGGTTAAACTACCCCCAGTCCCTCGGTAACCAAACTCAACGTGTGCTTCTTCAGGTGATCACTGTTGATATTGTTTTTCGATATTGACTTTATTTTTCTAATATGAGTGTTTGCACAAGTCAACCTCGTTCGGCTCTACATAATACTTGAAGTACTTTAATCCATGTCGTGAAGCAAACGCTGGCTCTAAAATTTTAGGCGTTAGTGACACCGGGCGCGCAAAGCACTGAATGAAATGGTGCAAAATAGGGACGCTTGAGTTGCGCTAGATACGACTTGGATATGGATTAGATGTTAAAAAGCACACGTTTTACGAAATTCCCATCAAAAACAATTTTCTCGTTCAAAGTAGAAAATTGTTAAGTTCGATGATAGATTTCTGTGTCGGTAAACTGTGGCGAATTCCGTGTTCGTTAAAAATGGAGAATTTTACAAAAATGTCTATATACCTTCAAGACCATATTTTCAATCTTGAAAGTGCATTCTAATTTTTCTCTTTTACTTTTTTGACGTTTTGGCTTTTTGAATTGCTTCAAAGGTATGTGAAAATTATTGTTTGTAAGGGTTCCCCCGGAGCGCGGAATTTCGGCTAAAATCCCTAGTGGTTTTTTCCTGTTCAGTATTCTCCAAGTTCTCGTGCCTTCGCGCTCGGTTTTGGTATATACCGTTCAGGTTTTGCCATTAGGGATTTTTTATTTCGGTTAAGTCTAAAAAAACACTGACCTTCGTAAGAGACTAAACTTCTATTTCATGTTATATACAATCATAAAAACTAAAGACAGAATTCATTTTGTAAAAGAACTTGTTTAGAGTACGCGCTCCCGATAAAGTTAACGTGAACATGAACCATTTTTGACCGTCTGACTTTGAGCCTTTTTTGATCGTCTGACAATCTTCTGAAGATAAAATTTCTGAATTATTTTACAAATTGATGATCTGTTTAATTTATTCTCAACTGCTCTAACTTACCAAAAATGGTACACACATCTTTTAGGAGCGGTACAATTTAGTCTTTGGGCTCGATTGCTAATACACTGCTTTTGTGTCAAAAATGCCAATATTATGGTTGAAGTTTTTAAAAAATTTCTGACGTAAACATCTCAAATTGTACATTGTAATAGGAAAGGCATTTATGGCTATACATATATTTAAAATAATTATGTTCTCAGTTATAATTTTATTGGCAAATGTATGTGGTCCAGTCTGAAAACGAATTTTTTTGAAATTCATTCACTCGGAAGAAGTTATTAAAGTATAGAAGATGATTTATTTCTTTTTACGTAGTTTATGTGTAGAAAAGAATAGCCATTTTTCCTGACATATAAAAGTACATACGAATGCTTCAAATAATAGTACATACGAATGCTTCTATTTGATTAATTTAAATTTTGGCTTTCAAAAAATGTTCAATTATGGTTATTGATACTTCCACCCAATTTTGGGGGAAAATGGGATTATAATTTACATTCGTTTTCCTCAAGTGAAATGTGGTCCTGTAGCTGGGGGATAGTGAATTTCAGCAGGTGGTTTATCAGCTTTATCTATTGCTTCATAAATTATAAAGCATACATATTTACTAAGTGGTATAGAATATCCCTTACAATTCAACCCGATGTTATACTTGGAAATGTACAACTACTTATGACGTTTAAAGTGCCTATGAGATGAAAATTTTTATATTTTAAAGGCTGTAGCATTGCTCTTTGTCATTTAGAAGTTATTTACGTTCTTTTGTTTTTATAGTATGCTCTTTGCGATGTTAATTCAATAAAATAAAAAAGCCCAAAAGCTCAAAATTTATGTGAATGATTTACAAAACTTTAAACTAAAACTGTCGCACAACTATTACTGAGTGCTTTCATGTGACATTAATGTGCGGATACCTACCAGATGATATGGGATCTGAGATGATAAAATCAACATAACTTTGCACTATTTTCTATCTGTGGAGTAAATACAAGGTCTTCTAGCAGTTATAAGATTAATTTGAAACTTTACTCAGTAAGTGTAAGTGTGAGAGAGTTTTTAGAATATAGGCAACAGAGAGCGCCGTAGTTAACCTTACGTGTATTTAGGTGTATATTCAATATTCATTTAAGAAATCTTAAATACATAGCACTTGTATTTTAGTTGTATGGATTTAGGCACGACATAAGTGTCAGGGTCACAGCGCATGAAATAAGCAAAATATCAGAAAATAATGTCAACTATGAATATTTTCCTATAAAACTAATTAAAATATTATTGACTCCATACACAAAACATTAGACGAAATGCTGTCACTCACTCAATTTCATGAAAATTTTATTTAATTCAATTATTTTATATTGACAGCTACGTAATTAATGTGAGATAGTAAAACACTAAAGATTCTATTTATGGAATTATGCACAACTTCTAATGGTCAGATTTATACAATAAGGAATTTCCAAGAGCCCAAAACACCAAGGCCAGACTTTTAGTAATTATAATAATTTCAGAAAAACAATTATTTATCGTATACGAGTTTATTATGTCGGATGAAAGTAGAGCAAATTTTTCAGTGCAGCCAAGCATAAAAGTTAACTTTTAATGTCATGTTCACCTTCAGTCTTTTTCCAAAACAGTTTAAAGTAAAAATTAAATATATACATTGTATAAATGAATACCACAGGCTATACATTCACCAGAAACGGGGTGAAATATCATCTAAATACGTCGTGAAAACTGTTTTTCTTTAAATCTATAAAATAAGATCTCAACAGTATCAATGATTTCTTAATTGCTACTTTTTTACTCCCATCAGGTTCTGTTGTATCTAAAATTTTTTTTGATGTAGTTTGCATTCATCAAAAGGAAAAAAGTTCTTGAGTTCTGGCTCGTTCTTCAATTCTTCATTTGACCTGACAGCAGTATGTACCCGAACAGGGAGATTAGGAAATGTTCGAAGAAAATACGCCCTGTAATCGCCAATCTTATAAAATGGTTCTGGTTGTGGTAGAGGTCGTGGTCGATCGTTCCAATGCTGGTCAATATTTCGAATAAGACTTAAACATTCTGTCCATGAAGAGTTATAGGTTCTTTTATTCACCAAATAATCATAAACATCACTATCCATTTCGCTTCTCCAATCTGAGGATTCGCTATTCAATTGTTGAACGACACTACACAGGGGATCATTTGTCTTAATCTGCTGAAGATTTCCAACTTTACATAATAAGTCAAATTTCTCGTCATCTGACATAAGAAATGGATGTGTTAACGCCACGGTAGCCGATGGTCTGTCTTTGGGTTCTCGGTTTAACATCCACGATAGAAGGTCTTTCAATGTTTCATCCTCGATTTCGTCCAAGCCAACAGGAAGTCCATTTAACATATTGTCCAATCTATGCCGTTTAGTTCCAAACGGGTGTTTTCCTTTTGTTGCAATATAATAAGCTAGCATTCCTGCATTCTAAAAAGATTAACAATGTAAAGTCACAAAATTAATTGTAGATATGCATGACTTGCAAATGGTTATATTCCTGCACTTACCATTACATCAGACGTTTTCTTGTACCGTCCCGTATTAACTGTATCTTCATCTTCACAATATGATTCAGGAGCAATCCAATACTCAGTTCCCATGTTAGGATTGCTTTCATGTGTCGTAGAATCGTTTTCCAATATTCGACTAATGCCAAAGTCAGCTATAAGAAAGTTGTCTTGTGTGTCTCGGAGAACATTGGCCGGCTTTAAGTCCCGATGAAGAATAGGATTTGGGCCGCTATGAAGATCAGCTAATCCTTGCAAAATTTGTCTGAGAATTTTGGGAAGAGCTTTTTGAAGATCTTGTAAAGTAGAAGACTTGACAAAACTGTCCAATGATTCTTCACATAAGTCTAATATCAAATATACATATTCTGTTCCAGTATCTTCCTCTAGGAAAGAATAATTTACAACATATTTCGACTTTCTTGCGTTGGATTTATTCAAAATTTTCTTTTCTTGCTGTGCAAGCTGCATGTAGCTATCTCGACGTATTTGTTTCACTGCTTTACCGTAACCATCCTTACCCAATCCAAGAAAAACACGGGTTGCACCACTTCCTTTGCCAATGCAAAACTCTTCTGAGAGAATTACCCGTACATTGTCCACCAATTTAACATCAACACTGGAATTGCGTCCATATTCAATCAATTTTAAAAACAATTTTTCATGTTTCGTTGATTCACCAATGTATTTCCACTCTTCTAGATAAAAATATTATATTCAAGGGTGAAAGAAACGAAATTAATAGGTAAAAATAGCTTAAACTTTCCCAATCAGGAAAGGATATTATTAGCTACAGCGCATTTTTGAAAAAACTTATCAACAACCATTAGACAAATCATAAGTCCTTTAATTGTACAATCAAATCTGGCAACATTTGAGGTTAGCTTATACCATACAATTTATCACAAAAACTTTTTTCTGCAGTAATTTCATATATTTTTTTTAAGAAATAACCTTACGTTTTTCGAAAATATTAAATTTAAATTTATAGAGCATATTTTTTAGAGTCTAAAAATTTTTATAGTAGAAAATAACAAAATAGCTTCATTTAATTTTTCATTTCATTCTCGACACTCATTATTTAGATAGACTATTTTTGTTTAATGCCAAATATGAACATTGAAATTCGATGAGCAACTAAAACTAAACAATTATTCTCTCAAACCTTGTTTGAACACCATTAAAGTGCCAATGAAACGAAAACTTTGCTAGTTAAATTATATTTACATTAACCAGAACTTTTGAAATGAATGCTTTCTAAAACCTTTTATGTATGATACTTTCATTCAAAAATTACTGAAGTGAAGTTCTTGCTATTACCAATTTATCTAACTTGTGACATCATATTGCATGCAAAATGAGTCGCTGCCATGTTTTAAATACACTTCATTTTTCTGACAACGTAACGTTGATAATAGTAGGCAGTATTTTATGTTATTAACACATCACAAAGAAAGAAACTCGGCAAAGTTGAAGTCAAGTCTTAGAAAATGTACCGAATAATTCTAGTTCTCATTATGCAATGTGACGTCACAAGTTAGATGAATCGAACGTAATAAAAGCTTCAATATCTTGATAATGAAAAGATATACGCATAAACTATTTTCAGCAGCAGCCTTAGGAAACACCCCTTCACCCACCCCACTAAAAGTTATAGTTTTGGTCCTTTATACAGTGGTCCGTGATACAATACCTAAGAAAACATGATATAGTCATTGAGTTCTATAAGTGACATTTCATCAGCAGCCTTAGTAAACACCCTCCCCCCCACTAAGATTTATAGTTTTCGTTCTCCATATAGAAGTCCACGATACAATATTTGAGAAAACATGATACAGCCGTTGATTTCTGTAATCGATATTTAATCAGCAGCGTTATTAAACATCCCTTCCCTCACCCCACAAAACATTATATTTACGGTCCTCTATATAGTGGTCACTGATACTATATCTAAAAAAACATGATACAGTCATTGAATTTTGCAAGCAATATTTCAGCAGCAGCGTTATTAAACACTTTCTCCCCCACCCCGCTAAAAGTTATAGTTTCGGTCCTCTATACAGTGGTCCGTGCTATAATATCTGAGAAAACATGATACATTGAGTTTCGTAAGCGATAATTTATCAGCAGGGTTATTCTTGCTCAATCTTTTGACTTAAGTCTTAAGTGCCTTGAACTGATTCACGTGCACTTTTTAATTGAGGTTATGAACTCAGTTAACCAATCACGAATTAAGACGCACTTTAGATCATAAATGGGATTTTTGGACTCGCTTGCTCTTCTAATATAGTCCAAATATTTACATTTATCTATTTTGAGATTATTGGAGTAATTTATTGAAATCAATGAATAAAGTCGCTGTTTTTATGTTTTGCGATTAGTAACGCTTTTTGCTTATCTATTTTGGGAAATTTTTTAGTAGAAAAAACTGATACAGCAACTTTTACTCTCTAGGCAACCTTCAAAATGCAATTCTAAGCTAGAAAATGACCTTTTGCGAACATTTGAATGATGTTACACTGAAGATGTAATCTCCAGTATACTTAGCAAGGAGAGAGCTCAAAAAAACTTGTAATTTTCTGTAAATTTAGAATTTAGAAGTTCGTTCAATAAATGTGCAATTTAATGCTGCATCTGTCATAAGAAAAATTTTATATAGCCTTCTTTTTATTGTGGAACTTTGAGAATTCACATCGTCAAATTGGCTCATTTTCCATATGATTTTGAGGTATTTTACTTACAATGAACAGGAATTCTTATTTATTGAAGTATATCGAGCAAGTCGATTTGATGGTGGCCGTTCTTTGCATAATTTTCAATATCATTAGCTAGGTAATGTATGCATGGTGGTGGAAACGTGAAGTATGACAGTACATCCAAAGGATAGTTTGTTGAGAAGTTTTTATGATTAAACAAGCAGAATACAAATAAACGTTACTTTAAAAAAATAAATTGCATGATGTCATTATCACCTCATGTCTCATTTTAATTTTAACTGACTGATAATGTGCTTCAAGTACAAATTATTAAGTGACAAAATTTTACTGCCATGGTTAAAACAGATTAAAGCACTTTAAAACAGATTGTCTAACCTGAACAATTCTAAAATGCAGAGTCTGATCTCTATGGTGTACATTATATCAAGATTTATTTTAAAAGGTTTTAGTCTATTTATTGTAATCATTTTTCTTTAATGAAACTTATGAAATGTAGTCAATTTGAGCACTTTATAAAAAGAGTTGCCCAACTTTGCTGGTACGCAGTATTTATTGAGATAAACAAAGACTTATCAAGTTGTGCAAGTTATGCGTCTAGTACAGAATTAATCGAAATTATTTGTCGTTAGCAAAAGCAAAATTGAAGTCTTTGATACAGTATTGAGCATACGTAATAAACGATCGTTCGGAGTCCGAAAATTCAACATGTATACATCATGGGCTGGTTGTTCAAAAGCCGATTAACTTAACCTAGAGATAACAAATAAACTAGGTTCAGTTCGTTAACCTAAAGTTGGCTAACCCTGGGTTAAAATTGCGTTGTTCAAAGCAGGGTTAAGCGCTGGGTTAACTAACCTTGGGTTAAAAAGCAGGCGAATCCAAATAAGGTCAATTAACTGTGTGAGTTCAATCAACACAATCAATAGCAAAGCCAGCAAGCAAAAAAGTTGTTTTGATTTTATCGATTACGTAGTTTTTCAATAATTGAAGGTGGCCAGTTTTAAAGTGATTCCTAGGTCTATTCAATGCAGTTGTAATGTTAGCACCGTTGCAGATTTATTAACAATTCGATTATCTTGGACATCTTATACGTCTTATACGAGAGTGCCGAAGCAAAGAACCTCAAAGCAATTACGACTTGTTGTAGATGAATCGCACAGCTTTGCTCCTTATCTAAATAAAGCTTGAAGAATTAGATTTGTTATACAATTTATTTCGTTTCTGCCGAATTTTATTTCTTGCATTTAGCTCACTGTCGTAAAAACCTTTAGTATTTTGTCTACGTAGACAATATCGTCTTTTGCAACGAGGATAATTTACATGGGAAATGAAGAGCAAATTCTGTCATCAGTTGTTTTAATTACGAAAATAATATGTTAACATAGGGTTAAGTAATTTAAACCACCTAGCGAAGAGGGTTAAAGCTAACCCTTGTTTTAACCGAAGGTTTAAGATAACCTAGTTTCGAGAAATGCAAACTAACCCAGAGTTAAAAATTAACCTTGTGTTAGGCATGTTTAACCCTGGGTCAGCGTTAACCAGCTTTTGAAAAACCAGCCCCAGATTATTAAAAATAAATCTTCATAAAAACACATATATACCAATAAAATGACTTGATTTGTCATACAATACGAAAAAAATATGATTAGATTTTGCAATATATATAAAATAAAATAGAATTGAAAGACTTACCTTGTTTTGTCTTTTCAACACCAGGAGAAATTACAACATCTTCGGCAATAAAATCATCACCAGTTGTGGTTTCTAAGAAAAATATATTAAAAAATTTTATCCACACCATCTGCATGTGTATTTCTATTCTGTCATTAAATAAAAAAAAATTACAGCTAGTGCTCAAAAAGAAATAACACAAGTAAACTGAAAAATTTCGGTTAGTAGCTTTTAAAAACTATATCTTTTATCTCGTTTTGCTCATTAAAGTATAGTAGCGCGCCGAACGGATTTAATTGGGAGAGCAAAAACATGCACCTCCAAAATTTCATATACATATATTACACACAGTTTTATATAACTGATATTTTTCAAGTCTATGGAAATATTGAGAGGTGGTTTACCCCCTTGTAAGCGCCCATTATTTTCATGTAATGGACCAGCTTTCATCAGGCGTAATATTACAAATAAATGTATCTAAACAAACTTCATGAAGGAAACACCAAACGTTTTTTAAAACGAAAAAAAACAAAACAGAAAACCATGGTACGAATGTAGGTCAAAAAAAGAACACTGGTTTTTTTTTATGTAGACGACACGATTTCAAGCTATATATTTTCAGCTGGCAAAAACTACAGGAGTGAAAGCCAGTCCATGCAAAGCAGTAAAGACGAGAAAAGAAAAAAAAACTTTCAGTTCAAATAAAGCCATATAATAAACCTTTTATTAACCTCGCCTGCTCGTTCTTTACTGAGAAATCTCGGACCTCTGTTTTTAGTACAAACCTTGCCTTAAGGGGCTCAGTCTGCACGAAAAACTTCAATCACACACTCGCTTATTAAGAGCTTATTAATGAATTCAGACATTGATAAATGTTACATAACCGTTGACGTTAATCCCTGTGGAGAAGGTACCTAAGTAACTGTAGGGAAAAAGTTATACGCAGGATTTATTGAGGTGAACAAAAACTTCTCAAGTTAAACTGAGCACTGCCGTCTAGTAGATATTTCATTTCAAATATTTGAACGTCGTTAGCAAAAGCAAAATTTATATCCTTGTTACCGTATTGAATATACGTATTAAACGAACGTTTGGACTGTATATATCATATTTTAAATAAAATAAATCTTCATAAAAACACATAAATACCAATCAAATGCCTTGAATTGTGATACAATTCAAAACAAGTATTCTTAGGTTACGCAATATATAATAAAAATTAGAATTGAAAGGCATAGCTTGTATTGTATTTTCGACACACGGAGAAGTTCCGACATCTTTAGCATTAGCATCATCACCACTTGTGATTTCTACGAACAATATTTTAAAAAGCGTTATCCACACAAGCTGTGTATTTCTATTTTGACAACTTGTAAAAAATGAATTTACAGCTAGCGCTCGAAAAGAAATAACACAAATAAATTGGAAAGTTTTGGATAGTAGCTTTTTAAAACTAAATATTTCGTTTCGTTTTGCCCATTAGCTCCAAAATCTCATATACATATATTATATTTTACATGACTGACATTTTCAAGTAATAAAATGACCTTACAATTGGAAATATTTAGAGGGCAGTATATATTTTCACGTAATGAGCCAGCTTTTTTGGCGTAATTTTACAAATAAATGTAGATAAACAAACTTCATGAAACGACTGCCAAAGAGCATTTTGGTAAAACACAAGACAATAGACACTCTGTATATAGTAAACATTTTTTATCTAGATAAAATATCTTACGAAACGTGATACAGCCATTGAGTTCTGTAAGCAATATTTCAGCAGCAGCATTATTAAACACCCCTTCCCCACCCACTAAAATTTATAGTTTTAGCCCTCTATACAGTGGTCGGTGCTACAATATCTGAGAAATCATGATACAGCCATTGAGTTCTGTAAGCGATATTTCAGCAGCAGCGTTATGCTTGCTCAATCGGGAGGCTTAAGTCGTAAGTGGATTGGTCTGATTCACGTGCACCTTTTAATGAAGGTCATCAAGCAAGTTTACAATCATCAATTAAGACACAATTTGAATTATAAATGAGATTTTTGGAGTCACTTGCTCTTCTAATATAATCGAAACAATTATATTTATTTATTTTGAGATCAGTGGGAGTAATTTATTCAAATCAATGAATAAAGTCGTTGTTTTTCAGTATTGGGATTAGTAACGTTATTTGCTTATCTATTTTGTGAAATTTTTTAGTAGAAAAAACTGATACAGCAACTTTTATGCTCTACGTAACTTTTAAAATGCAATTCTGAGTAAAAAGTATTCAAAATTTAATGCTAAGCTAGAAAATGATCTTTGTGGACTTTTGAATGATGTTCACACTGAAGAGGCAATCTTCAATATACTTAGTAAGGAGAGTTCAAAAACTTGTAATTTTCTGTAAATTTAGAATTTAGAAGATCGTTTAATAAATGTGCAATTTAATGCTACATTTGTCATAATGAAAATTGTAAATAGCCTTCTTTTATTGTGGAACTTTAAAATTCACATCGTCAAATTTGCTCCTTTTTCATATGATTTTGAGGTATTTTATTACAATGAACAGGAATTCTTATTTATTGAAGTATATCGAGCAAGTTCATTTGATGGTGGCCGTTCTTTGCATAATTTTTAATGTCATTTAGCTAGGTGGTGTATGCATGGTGGTGCAAACGTGAAGTATGACAGTATATCCAAAGGATAGTTTGTTGAGACGTTTTTATGAATAAAGAAGCAGAATACAAATAAACGTTACTTTCAAAAAAATAGATTTCATGATGTCATTATCACCTCATGTCTCGTCTTAATTTCAACTGGTTGGTAATGTGCTTTAAGTACAAATTGTGAAGTGACAAGATTTTACTGTCATGCTTAAAACAGATTAAACCAGCCTCAATTGTTACCATTCAGTGTTGCTTAGACATGTGATGAAAAATACTCAAATATCTTATTACATTTGTTAATGTAAAAGGTTGATCGAAGACTGTATTCGAAGTAAATTTTTATTCGAACTTGGACTTGGTGATGTTTTTTAATTGCGTCAACATGCTGTAAGCCAGGAGCAAAAAACATAATTTCTATCTGGAAAAAAGTTATACTCCGACTAATCTCCTGTACTCTAACAAAGAAAGTAGTAATCAACGTAATACAACACGAGCACTTTTAAAACAGATGGTCCAACCTTCTAAAATGCAGGGTCTGATCTGTATGATGTACATTATGTTAAGATTTGTTTTAAAGGTTTTAAGTCTATTTATTATAATCCTTTTTCTTTAATGGAACTTATGAAATGTAGTCAATTTGAGCACTTTATAAAAAGAATTACGCCACTTGCCTGCTACGCAGTATTTATGATGTACACTCTTTCTTGCCATTATAAATATCAGTAGATTGTAAATTTTCATTTAGCAGACGTTGAAACCTGAGGAGTAGTCTGCCGAAATGCATCGTCTCGTTTAATTTAGAACTATCGGGTTAGTGCTCTTTACTTAAATCAGTTATTTTAAGAACTATGAACTTATTTTATTTCTTTTACCATTCACTATGGTATTTACTTTCTTTAGAACTATTTTCAGATTTTTCACCACGACAAAGTCTCTATTTTATTAATTGAAATTATGGTACACATGTAAGTTTGCATACACAACTCAGTATAGTTATTGTATATATATCAATAATGATTTAATAAACCGCTAGTAAGATACATAAAGAATATCAATATTCAAATACATATATGTATGCTATAATTCGCAGAAAATAAACGACTCCGAAATTAATTAATACAGAAAACATTAGATGAATATTTCACACCACCCCCTAATTGTCGCGCTGACAATCCTTCACTGAATTTTCACATGAAGAAACATTTTTTTATATTTGGATTTTTACTATCCTTGTTACAACTAAGGAAGAATTTAAAGTTTTCTGTAAATTTAGAATTTAGAAGATCGTTTGATAAATGTGTAATTTTATGTTACAATTGTCATAATGAAAATTGTTAACAGCGTTCTTTTTATCGTCGAAATGGCTCATTATTCATATGATTTTGAGGTATTTTACTTACAATAAACACGATTTTCATTGTCATTAGCTAGGTAATGTATTCATGGTGGTGCGAATTTGTTACAAATTTATCATCAGACTGATGTTGTGATTATCACCTTATGTTTCATTTTAATATCAACTGACTGGTAATGTGCTTCAAGTACAATTTTTAAAGTGAGAAAATTTTACAGCAATGGTTAAAACAGATTAAACCAGCCGAAAATGTTACCATTCAGTGTTGCTTAGACATGTGATGAAAAAAACTCATATATCTCATAACGATTGCTAATTTAAAAGGTTGATTGAAGACTGTATTTGAAGGAAATTTTTATTAGAACTTGGACTTGGCGATGTTTTTTTAATTGTTTCAACAATTTCGATGCTGTAAGCCAGGAGCAAAAAAACATAATTTTTATCTAGAAATGATATTATACTCCTACTAATCCCCTGTACTCTATCGAAGAAAATAGTAAGTAATGTAATAAAACACGAGCACTTTTAAAACAAATGGTCTAACCTGAGCACTTCTAAAATGAAGGGTCTGATCTGTATAGTGTATATTTTGTCGAGATTTGATTTAAAAGGTCTTAGTCTATATATTGTAATCCTTTTTCTTCGATAGAACTTATGAAATGTAGTCAATTTTTTCGGATTATATAAAAAGACTTGCGCCACTTTCCTGCTACGCAGCATTGATTGAGATAAACAAAGACTTGTCAAGTTGTGCTGAGCACTGCCGTCTTGTACAAAGTACATTTAAGTTATTTGTCGTTCGCAAAAGAAAAATTGAAGTCATTGATACAGTATTGAACATACGTAATAAGTGAGCGTTTGGAGTCAGAAACTGCAACACTGTATACGTACATCATGCATATTATTAAATAATATAAATTTTCATAAAAACACATAAATACTAATCAAATGACTTGAATTGTGATACAATACAAAACAAATATGCTTAAATTATGCAATATATATAAAATATATTAGAATTGAAAGGCATACCTTGTTTTGTATTTTCAACACCAGGAGAATTTACGACATTTTTAGCATTAGCAACATCACCACTTGTGATTTCTACGAACATTATTTTAAAAAGAATTATCTACACAAGCTGTGTATTTTTATTTTGACAACAAGTAAAAAAATAAATTTAAAGCTAGCGTTTGAAAAGAAATAACACAAATAAATAGGAAAGTTGTTTTGGATAGTAGCTTTTTAAAGCTATATATTTTATTTCGTTTTGCCCATTAGCTCCAAAGTCTCATATACATATATTACATTTTACATGACTGACATTTTCAAGTAATAAAATGACCTTACAATTGGAAATATTGAGGGGGAAGTATATATTTTCACGTAATGGACCAGCTTTCATCAGGCGTAATTTTACAAATAAATGTAGATAAAAAAACTTCATGAATTACGACTGCCAAAGAGTATTTTGGTGTTTTACAAGACAATAGACACTCTGCATATAGTAAACATTATTTATCTAGATTAAATAATGTTTATCTAGATTAAATAATGTTTATCTAGATTAAATAATGTTTACCTAGATTAAAGAATGTTTACACGGAGTGTCAATTGTCTTGTGTTTTACTACAACTTCATGAAGCAAACAGCAAATGTTTTGTAAAACGAAAATTAAACAAAACAAAAATCCAAGGTATGAATGTAAGTCATAAAAGAACACTCGAAAAGTTGGTTTTATTATCTAGGCGACACAATTTCAAACTATATATTTTCTGCTGGCAAAACTAGAGAGTGAAAGCCAGTCCTTGCAAAACAGCAAGAATGGAAAATAAAGAAAGTTTGTTTCAGGTCAAATAATACCATATAGCTAACTGACTTTTACTAACCTGCTCGGTCTTTATTGAGAATTTCGGACCTCTGTTTTATCACAAACTTCTCCTAAGGGTCTCGGTTAGTACAAATAACTTCAGTCCGATATTTCTCCGTAAAGACCTCACACTCGGTTAATAAAGGGCGTTGTAATAAATTCAGACATTGATAAGTGTTAACGAACTGTTGTCGCCAATCTCTGTCGAGTATCTTAGTAATTTAAGAAAAAAGTTGCTTTAATCGTTACTTATACGAATTATGCAACCTAATCAGAAGAACGAAAACATTAACACATTTTTAGCGTTGTTGTTTAATTACTATGGCTTTAAAGAAAAGTTTGGAATTATTTTAATCAGACATCGCGTATATATATATATAGTAAATGTCTGTACTATTCACGGCAATTAACGGCTTAACTTATTCATTACAAACCTGAAAATTTGTTGACCATTGCGACAATACAACACGCACGACACATCACACATCACAACTAAAAATAAAATATTTCACTTCACACTAATCCACAATGACGTGCACATTTCCTGCACAACAATGACATAAGAACCAGACAACAAATACGGCTAACCTGACGTTTACTCATCATTTGACTCTGAAGATGACTACCGCTAAGGTTGTCGAAACGTCAGTCAACAACATCAAAAACAGTCCTTCTCAGGACTTTATTAACCTGGACGATCATCATTTACAAACGTATATATATATATTGAAAAGTTTCCTAAAGAATATGCAAGCACCCAAAAGCCTAGAAAATCGATGAATTTTGTTCCTAAACAGAACAAATGAATGGTTAATTCATAGCTACTTCGAAGTTCGAATTCATTTCTCGTTGACGATTCTTTCCTTTAATGTATATGGAATCCTTGCCGAATCACTCAATTTGTTGAGAAGGCTGCCTTTCCCTACGGAGTCGAGGCAATTAAGAAAGATCGGTCAAACATAGAAATTTTATCGCGATATGTGGCTTGTTTACTTCAATCTCGGAGCTATACTTTCATTAAACAATCAACTCGTCGTCGTACGTTTTTGTCAGTTATGAAAAGAAATTGAACTGTATTCCTGGAAAATAGACGAGCGAGAAAAAGTGATCGCTATAATATTTTTGAATTAGTAGACAAGAACTGCAAGGGATCTAAGAATTGAAAAAATCATCTGTAACACCTTTATAAATTTAGGGAAACATCCTGCAGGAAACATAATGACTGGAATTGCTATAATAATGTTTGGCATCAATGCCAGTCACGCTATGTCAATGTAGTTTCAATAATTCATTAATAGCAAAATAGCAGTTAAACATGTCATACAGACCACGATTTGATAATATGTAGACACATGTTTTGTCAAGCTTTTGCTATCTTTGTTGCTCAAATCATATTTTTATGTTTTATATTAAGCAACTTGATAAAACTAGATCTCAGTAAACAAATACATTATAAGTCTAAATTTAACTCGTAATAAAATTTCTACTTTCAATCCTGTAATTTAATATCTGTGACATATATAAATGATATAATATTTTCTTGCTGTAAGAAGTAATACACTGAAAATGGCATAAGCATGCTGAAATATGTCTGTTTTAAAATCATCCTGAATTATTTCCAATGTTTGTCAATTTTTCAGTCTATAATTTTTTGATGACATAATTTTTACAGAGCTGGGTTTGGTGAAATAAAATGTTTATAAGATGTCAAAGACTCAAGGTGTGTTTAAATTTTGATACGTATATGCTATAAGATTATATTTAAATGTATGCTTTAATTCTAGTAGTCACTTTGAAATAGACACCAGGTATATGGAATATTATTATCTCTAAATTGGTGCAATGTTGTATTTTAATTTTACAACTAACAATGAGTTTATAGCTGTTATAAATCTTGGGCAATGTTTGTTTGATTAAAATGTTTCCATCTCACTGTTCTTTAGAGCGGGTTTTATGTATATCTTTTTAGTTTATAGGTAGAATTTTGAATTATTGTTTTTGTTGAATAATGTAAATATGAATCCAAACGGCGTTTTACTTAGTGTTTTGGCCTTTTGTTTGTCTACAAACAAAATGAACAACCCAGTCCTCAGATGAAACAATTTGTATGTCAATGAACCACTTAAATCTATGACTTTAAATTCAATATGAAGAAATTTTTTTGCATTATACTATGAAATTTGTATATATACTTACCCAAAGATTCTTTTTGAATTTCCAGAGCTTTCTCGTGAACCTCTTTAGCTTTGTCATAGTTTTCAGTTTTTTCAAGCACATTACCAAGATTGTTTAAAGACGCAGCGACATCAACATGATTTCGACCTAACGATTGTTTTCGAATTTCCAGAGCTTTTTCGTTAAACTCTATAGCTTTGTCGTAGTTTCCAGTTTTATAATACACCAAACCAAGATCGTTTAAAGACCCAGCGACATCAACATGATTTGGACCTAACAATTGTCTTCAGATTTCCAGAGCTTTTCGTAAAACTCTATAGCTTTGTCGTACTTTCCATATCATAATAAACAATACCAAGATTGTTTAAAGATGTGGCAACATCAACATGATTTGGACCTAACAATTGTTGTCGAATTTCCAGAGCTTTTTGGTGAACCTCTTTAGCTTCCTCGTACTTTCCAACTTTTTCAATGACCACACCAAGATTGTGTAAAGATGTAGCGACATCAATATGTTTTAGACCTAACGATTGTTTTCGAATTTCCAGAGCTTTTTTGTGAACCTCTTTAGCTTTGTCGTAGTTTCCATTTTCAGTAAACACCAAACCAAGATTGTTTAAAGACCTAGCTACATCAAGATGATTTGGACCTAACAACTGTTTTCGAATTTCCAGAGCTTTTTCGTAAAACTCTATAGCTTTGTCGTAGTTTCCAGTATCATAACACACGATACCAAGATTGTAAAAAGACGCAGCGACATCAACATGATTTGGACCTAACAATTGTTGTTCGAATTTCCAGAGCTTTTGGTGAACCTCTTTAGCTTCCTCGTACTTTCCAACATTTTCAATGACCACACCAAGATTGTTTAAAGATGTAGCGACATCAATATTTTAGACCTAACGATTGTTTTCGAATTTCCAGAGCTTTTTTGTGAACCTCTTTAGCTTTGTCGTAGTTTCCAGTTTCAGTAAACACCAAACCAAGATTGTTTAAAGACCCAGCGACATCAACATGATTTGGACCTAACATTGTTCGAATTTCCAGAGCTTTTCGTAAAACTCTATAGCTTTGTCGTACTTTCCATATCATAATAAACAATACCAAGATTGTTTAAAGTGTAGCAACATCAACATGATTTGGACCTAACAATTGTTTTCGAATTTCCAGAGCTTTTTCGTGAACCTCTTTAGCTTTGTCGTAGTTTCCATTTTCAGTAAACACCAAACCAAGATTGTTTAAAGACCTAGCTACATCAACATGATTTGGACCTAACAATTGTTTTCGAATTTCCAGAGCTTTTTCGTAAAACTCTATAGCTTTGTCGTACTTTCCAGTATCATAACACACGATACCAAGATTGTATAAAGACGCAGCGACATCAACATGATTTGGACCTAACAATTGTTGTCGAATTTCCAGAGCTTTTTCGTGAACCTCTTTAGCTTCCTCGTACTTTCCAGTTTTCATAACCACACCAAGATTGTTTAAAGATGTAGCGACATCAATATGATTTTGACCTAACTATTGTTTTCGAATTTCCAGAGCTTTTTTGTGAACCTCTTTAGCTTTGTCGTAGTTTCCAGTTTCAGTAAACACCAAACCAAGATTGTTTAAAGACGCAGCGACATCAACATGATTTGAGCCTAACAACTGTTTTCGAATTTCCAGAGCTTTTTCGTAAAACTCTATAGCTTTGTCGTACTTTCCAGTATCATAATAAACAATACCAAGATTGTTTAAAGATGTAGCAACATCAACATGATTTGGACCTAACGATTGTTTTCGAATTTCCAGAGCTTTTCGTGAACCTCTTTAGCTTTGTCGTAGTTTCCATTTTCAGTAAACACCAAACCAAGATTGTTTAAAGACCTAGCTACATCAACATGATTTGTACCTAACAACTGTTTTCGAATTTCCAGAGCTTTTTCGTAAAACTCTATAGCTTTGTCGTACTTTCCGGTATAATAACACACGATACCAAGATTGTATAAAGACGCAGCGACATCAACATGATTTGGGCCTAACAATTGTTTTCGAATTTCTAGAGCTTTTTCGTGAAGCTGTGCAGCTTTGTCGTAGTTTCCAGTTTTTCAATACCACACCAAGATTGTGTAAAGACGTAGCGACATCAATATGTTTTAGACCTAACGATTGTCTTCGAATTTCCAGAGCTTTTTTGTGAACCTCGTAGGCTTTGTCGTAGTTTCCAGTTTCAGTAAACACCAAACCAAGATTGTTTAAAGACCCAGCGACATCAACATGATTTGTACCTAACAACTGTTTTCGAATTTCAAGAGCTTTTTCGTAAAACTCTATAGCCTTGTCGTACTTTCCAATATCATAATAAACAATACCAAGATTGTTTAAAGATGTGGCAACATCAACATGATTTGGACCTAACAATTGTTGTCGATTTTCCAGAGCTTTTTCGTGAACCTCTTTAGCTTTGTCGTAGTTTCCATTTTCAGTAAACACCAAACCTAGATTGTTTAAAGACCTAGCTACATCAAGATGATTTGGACCTAACAACTGTTTTCGAATTTCCAGAGCTTTTTCGTAAAATTCTATAGCTTTGTCGTACTTTCCAATATCATAACACACGATACCAAGATTGTATAAAGACGCAGCGACATCAACATGATTTGGACCTAACAATTGTTGTCGAATTTCCAGAGCTTTTCGTGAACCTCTTTAGCTTTGTCGTACTTTCCAACTTTTCAACACCACACCAAGATTGTGTAAAGATGTAGCGACATCAATATGTTTTAGACCTAACGATTGTTTTCGAATTTCCAGAGCTTTTTCGTGAACCTCTTTCGCTTTGTCGTAGTTTCCAGTTTCAGTAAACACCAAACCAAGATTGTTTAAAGACCAAGCGACATCAACATGATTTGAGCCTAACAACTGTTTTCGAATTTCCAGATCTTTTTCGTAAAACTCTATAGCTTTGTCGTACTTTCCAGTATCAAAACACAAGATACCAAGATTGTATAAAGACGCAGCGACATCAACATGATTTGGACCTAACAATTGTTGTCGAATTTCCAGAGCTTTTGTGAACCTCTATAGCTTTGTCGTACTTTCCAGTTTTCAATGACCACCAAGATTGTGTAAAGATGTAGCGACATCAACATGATTTGGACCTAACGATTGTTTTCGAATTTCCAGAGCTTTTTGTGAACCTCTTTAGCTTTGTCGTAGTTTCCAGTTTCATGAAACACCAAACCAAGATTGTTTAAAGACAAGGCGACATCAACATGATTTGGACCTAACGATTGTTTTCGAATTTCCAGAGCTTTTTCGTAAAACTCTATAGCTTTGTCGTACTTTCCAGTTTCATAAACACAATACCAAGATTGTTTAAAGATGTAACATCAACATGATTTGGACCTAACAATTGTTTTCGAATTTCCAGAGCTTTTCGTAAAACTCTATAGCTTTGTCGTACTTTCCAGTTTTTCAATGACCACCAAGATTGTTTAAAGACGTAGCGACATCAACATGATTTGGACCTAACGATTGTTTTCAATTTCCAGAGCTTTTTGTGAACCTCTTTAGCTTTGTCGTAGTTTCCAGTTTTAAACACCAAACCAAGATTGTTTAAAGACCAGCGACATCAACATGATTTGGACCTAACGATTGTTTTCGAATTTCCAGAGCTTTTTCGTAAAACTCTATAGCTTTGTCGTAGTTTCCAGTAATAAACAAACCAAGATTGTTTAAAGACAGCGACATCAACATGATTTGGACCTAACAATTGTTTTCGAATTTCCAGAGCTTTTCGTGAACCTCTATAGCTTTGTCGTACTTTCCAATTTCAATAACCAAACCAAGATTGTTTAAAGATGTAGCGACATCAACATGATTTGGACCTAACGATTGTTTTCGAATTTCCAGAGCTTTTGTGAACCTCTTTAGCTTTGTCGTAGTTTCCATTTTCAGTAAACACCAAACCAAGATTGTTTAAAGACCTAGCTACATCAAGATGATTTGGACCTAACAACTGTTTTCGAATTTCCAGAGCTTTTTCGTAAAACTCTATAGCTTTGTCGTACTTTCCAATCATAACACACAATACCAAGATTGTTTAAAGACGCAGCGACATCAACATGATTTGGACCTAACAATTGTTGTCGAATTTCCAGAGCTTTTCGTGAACCTCTTTAGCTTTGTCGTAGTTTCCATTTTCAATAACCACCACCAAGATTGTTTAAAGACCTAGCGACATCAACATGATTTGGACCTAACGATTGTTTTCGAATTTCCAGAGCTTTTTGTAAAACTCTATAGCTTTGTCGTAGTTTCCAGTTTCATAAACACGAAACCAAGATTGTTTAAAGACGCAGCGACATCAACATGATTTGGACCTAACAATTGTTTCGAATTTCCAGAGCTTTTCGTGAACCTCTTTAGCTTGTCGTACTTTCCAATTTCAAATGACCAATACCAAGATTGTTTAAAGATGTAGCGACATCAACATGATTTGGACCTAACGATTGTTTTCGAATTTCCAGAGCTTTTTGTGAACCTCTTTAGCTTTGTCGTAGTTTCCAGTTTCAGTAAACACCAAACCAAGATTGTTTAAAGACCCAGCGACATCAACATGATTTGGACCTAACAACTGTTTTCGAATTTCCAGAGCTTTTTCGTAAAACTCTATAGCTTTGTCGTACTTTCCAGTATCATAACACACGATACCAAGATTGTATAAAGACGCAGCGACATCAACATGATTTGGACCTAACAATTGTTGTCGAATTTCCAGAGCTTTTTTGTGAACCTCTTTAGCTTCCTCGTACTTTCCAACTTTTTCAATGACCACACCAAGATTGTGTAAAGATGCAGCGACATCAATATGATTTGGACCTAACGATTGTTTTCGAATTTCCAGAGCTTTTTCGTGAACCTCTTTAGCTTTGTCGTAGTTTCCAGTTTCAGTAAACACCAAACCAAGATTGTTTAAAGACCCAGCGACATCAACATGATTTGGACCTAACAACTGTTGTCGAATTTCTAGAGCTTTTCGTGAACCTCTTTAGCTTCCTCGTACTTTCCAACTTTTCAAAGACCACACCAAGATTGTTTAAAGACGCAGCGACATCAACATGATTTGGACCTAACGATTGTTTTCGAATTTCTAGAGCTTTTCGTAAACCTCTATAGCTTTGTCGTACTTTCCAGTTTTTTTAAACACCACACCAAGATTGTTTAAAGATGCAGCAACATCAACATGATATGGATCTAACGATTGTTTTCGAATTTCCAGAGCTTTTTTGTAAAACTTTATAGCTTTGTCGTAATTTCCAGTATAAGAATACACAATACCAAGATTGTTTAAAGATTTAGCGACATCAACATGATTTGGACCTAACGATTGTTTTCGAATTTCCAGAGCTTTTTGTAAAACTCTATAGCTTTGTCGTAGTTTCCAGTTCAAGAATACACAGGACCAAGATTGTTTAAAGATTTAGCGACATCAACATGATTTGGACCTAACGATTGTTTTGAATTTCCAGAGCTTTTCGTAAAACTCTAAAGCTTTGTCGTACTTTCCAATATTTTTAAACAAAAACCAAGATTGTTAAAGACGCAACGACTCAACATGATTTGGACCTAACGATTGTTTTCGAATTCCAGAGCTTTTCGTGAACCTCTTTAGCTTTGCCGTACTTTCCAACTTTTCAAAGACCAAACCAAGATTGTAAAATACGCAGCGACATCAACATGATTAAAGGCTAACGATCTTTTCGAAATTCCAGAGCTTTTGGTTAACCTCTTTAGCTTCTCGTACTTTCCAACTTTTCAAAGACCAAACCAAGATTGTATAAAGACGCAGCGTCATCATTATGATTTGGACCTAAAGATTGTTCTTGAATTTCCAGAGCTTTTGGTAACCTCTGTAGGTTTGCTGTAGTTTCCATGATATTCAAGGACCAAACCAAGAGTGTAAAACTTAGCGACATCAACATGATTTGGACCTAACGATTGTTTTGAATTTCTAGAGCTTTTCGTGAAACTCTATAGCTTTTCGTAGTTTCCAGTTCTATCAAACACCAAACCAAGATTGTGTAAAGAGGCAGCGACTCTAACATGATTTGGACCTAACGATCGTTTTTGATGTTCTAAAGCTTTTTCGTAAAACTCTATAGCTTTGTCGTACTTTCCAGTATCATAATACACAATACCAATATTGTATAAAGACGCAGCAACATCAACATGATTTGGACCTAACGATTGTTTTCGAATTTCCAGAGCTTTTCGTAAAACTCTATAGCTTTGTCGTAATTTCCAGTTTCATAATGCACAATACCAAGATTGTTTAAAGACGTAGCGACATCAACATGATTTGGACCTAACGATTGATTTTGAATTTCCAGAGCTTTTTCGTAAAGCTCTATAGCTTTGTCGTAGTTTCCATTTCGTTAAGCACATTACCAAGATTGTTTAAAGATGTAGCGACATCAACATGATTTGGACCTAACGATTGTTTTCGAATTTCCAGAGCTTTTTCGTGAACTCTATAGCTTTTCGTAGTTTCCAGTATCATAATACACAATACCAAGATTGTTTAAAGATGTGGCGACATCAACATGATTTGGACCTAACGATTGTTTTCGAAATTCCAGAGCTTTT